GCCTCTCTGCCTACTTGTGGTCTCTCTCTCTGTCAAATAAATAAAATCTTAAAAAAAAAAAAAAATTGGCATCCCAGTGGTCCCTTTGCGGGGTCCAGGGACCAGTGTGCGGTGGGGTTGGCAGTCTCTCATCCTTCCTATCCCATTAGGCCCGGTGTGGCGAGGGTCAAACAGGCCCTTGGCTGCCTGGGAGCGGTTTATTTTGGGTTGACGGACCGGCACTCTGGCTATATTTACCTTGCAATGCTGTTTGCAATCTGATCTGATCGGATCTTTCTGGGACTCAGCTGGGGCCCTGGGAGTCACCTGCCGGATTCCACAGGCCCCCTTGACTTTCTTCTCTATATGTATGTGTGGGGATTTCCCAAGAGGGAAGCATTCTGGAAAAAACAGTGGCTTGTATTGTGTGAATGGTTTTTATCAGGATCTGAGGTGCATGCCATCTGTTCCTTCTCCACATTATATCTTTCTACAACCCCATGGCGCTGAACTTGGTCCCCAGTGCAGGAATGGTACATACAGCCAACATGTATGGCCCCAGGAATTGTCGGGGCTGATAAGGGTGATGGGGTTTCCTACAGAGCTTGGCCTCAAGGCCTTTCCTCTTCCTTGGAGTGCCCAGCATTTCAGGCTTTGCTGTGCCTAGCCTTTCCCCAGATCAAGATCAGGGAGGGCTGGTAGGTTCTGGGGTCCCCCGGGCCAGGTAGGTCCCAGTAGCTGTGATTTCTCATCCTTGATCCTGTGAGTTTGACGAATGGTATGGAAACGATGGTCTCTGTCCTGCCAAGGTAGCCATCTGGCCCAGTGTAGTTTGGGGCACACTCTTTCCTTACGCCCCAGTTTGGAGCTGGGGCAGACTCGGCCTGGAGTGGGGGTCTGACCTCCTCACCCATCCTGGAGGCCAGAACGTTGGCCCATGGTGTCCGTTCTCTCCAGCCTGAGCTGACGGTGTCTGGGGTTTATTCTTTTTTCTCTGCCTTTTTTTTTTTTTTAAACAGATTTTATTTATTTATTTAAGAGAGAGAGAGAGACAGCAAGAGGGAACACAAGCAGGGGGAGCAGGAGAGGGAGAAGCAGGCCTCCCACCGAACAGGGAGCCCGATGCGGGGCTCGATCCCAGGACCCTGGGATCATGACCCGAGCCGAAGGCAAAGGCTTTTAACCCACTGAGCCACCCAGGAGCCCCTTTTTTTTCTCTTTTAAAATTTCATTTATTTCAGCAATTTCTACACCCAGCATGGACCTTGAACTCAGGACCCTGAGGTCAGCAGCTGTATTTTCTACCAGCTGAGCCAGCCAGACACCCCTGGGCTATTTCTCTTCTGCTTCAAGCCGCCTGCTTTTCTTTTCAACTAAAATTTATTTATTGAGTACCTCCTGTGGTCTGGCCCCGTGTTAAATGTTTACACGTCAAGACCTCATATATCAGTCTCCTCAGCGACTACGTCCGTCTGGACAGACTGGGTGGCTTCTGAACAACATTTATTTCCTCCCACTTGTGGAGGCTGGAAGTCCAAGATCAAGGTGGTGGCAGATTCAGAATCTGTTGAGGGACTGGCTTCCTGACTCAACCGCTGCTGTCTACTCACGGTGCCCCTCCCGTCCCAGGAGGGGCAGGGGGCTCTCCAGGCTCTCGCTCGCTCTCTCTTTTTTTTGTTTAAAGGGCACTGATCCTGCTCAGAGGGCTCCATCCTGTGTCCTCATCACCTCCCAGAAGCCCCGCGTCCTAGTGCCATCAAGTCAGGGTTAGGATTTTATTTTATTTTATTTTTAAAGATTTTATTTATTTATTTGACAGAGATCACAAGTAGGCAGAGAGGCAGGCAGAGGGAGAGAGAGGGAAGCAGGCTCCTCGCTGAGCAGAGAGCCCGATGCGGGGCTCCATCCCAGGACCCTGAGATCATGACCTGAGCCGAAGGCAGAGGCCTTAACCCACTGAGCCACCCAGGTGCCCAGGGTTAGGATTTTAAAGTGTGAATTTAGAGGGAACATAAATGTTCAATCAGTTGCAGCATCCTTATGGGAAAAGCATTCCTATGTTCCCCAGGCTCTAGTGCCAAGTGGACTTGAGTTCAGAGCTTCTACTTGGTAGCAGTCACAACCTCTGGGACAGCTGACCTCACCTCTCTGGGACTGTTTCCTTATTTGTAAAAGAATAATAATGATGTGGGGCGCCGGGGTGGCTCAGTGGGTTAAAGCCTCTGCCTTCAGCTCGGGTCATGATCTCAGGGTCCTAGGATTAAGCCCCGAGTCAGGCTTTCTGCTTAGCAGGGAGCCTGCTTCCTCCTCTCTCTCTGCCTGCCTCTCTGCCTAGTTGTGATTTCTCTCTGTCAAATAAATAAAATATTAAAAAAAAAAAAAGAAGAAGAAGAAGAAGAAGGATGTGGCTCATAATTATTAAGCTTACGATACACCAGGTCCTGTTCTAAGGTTTTATATTCTTTAACCTGTTGAATGCTTATAACAACCATAAATGGGCCCCTGTTTTATAGATGCAGCACAGAGAGGTTGAAACACCTGTCCAGGGTCACCCACGAGCTTTGTAAGTGAAGGAACCCATTCATTCTTCATGGCTACGTAGAGGAGGAGACAACATCTGTTCTGTAAGGGAACAGACTAGTTACCTGTGTGTGTGTCCCCCCAGTGCTCAGGTCAGGACCTGACAGACCTGATGCGTCTGGACATTTCCAGAAAGTGAATAAATTTAGCAAGGGAACATGAGGCAGCCAAGCAGCGGGCTCTCCTGCTTGTCCCTTCTCTGGTTTCAGGTTCCGGGGCAGCAGGCCAAAACAGGAAGAGGAAGTGCTGGGGGTGGGGAGGTGATGGCAGGAGGCACACATTGCTAGAGGGTGCCCCCCTTTCCCAGCGTGGGCAGCAGGCCTGGTGACAGAGACCAGGGGGCCTTGGGATGTGTCCCTTAACTCCTTGTGCCCTGGTGGCCTGCCCTCACATGTGGGGTCTAAGAATTCTCAGGATTGGCATTAGGCCACCAGTGATCTTAAAAAACAGTTGCTATCCTGATGGCACTGCCCCAGGTTTGTAGGAATTGTTTGTGAACTTCTGGGCTGAACTGTTGCAACCGTTGCAACAAGCGTAGGTTAAAAATTCTGTGAATCTCGTTGAAATTGTCTGAAAAGTCCTGTGAGTATATATATACCCCTGAACGTTCTAAGGAGGGTGTATCCATGATTTTCACCAGATTCTCAAAGGGGTCAGACCGCATGTCAGCTCTAGCCTGAGACCTGCATCTCGTCACGTCCCTCCTCTTAACAGACAAGAGGGGAGGGTTACGACCAGGGTCAAACAAGGAAGCAGCTGTCGTTTTGGAGCCAGGACTCAGGCCCCCCACTTTGGCCTTGCTGTTCTGACATCCCTCGTGTAGCTCTTCCACCAGGAGGGCGAAAACCCCAGAGGATTCCATGTAGAGGTAGTGGGTTTGGAGATGAGGTTTCTAAGCTGAAAAATAATAATAAAGCTCACTTTCATTGAGTGTTTACTCTGGGCCAGGCTCGAAGTATTTTCCATGGGCCTAAGTATCTTACAAACAACTTAGTCCTCACAGCAATCCTCTGATCGTGTACCATTATTCCCATTTTACAGATAAGGAAACCAAGGCCCAGAAAGTTGAAGCAGCTCGCCCTGGAGCCTTATAGCCCAAGAAAGGGCAAAGAGGTGGAGGTTCAAAGCCAGGCAGCATGGCTCTAGAGCCCATGCTCCCAATCACTGGCCCACACGGTCTTTCCAGGCCAAAGTAAGGGTACAGAAAGGTATAAGAAGTGAAAGCAAACAGAGCCAGGCATTCAGGGAGAAGGAGAGCTAGTGGGGTAAGAAGGAGCCCACCCTCTCCCAGGAGTAAGGAAGGGTTAGGGTAGCTGGTATGGGGCTAGGGATACATCTCAGCATTGGTCCTCCCCCATTCAGCCTGCTGCACACATAGCCAACGCTGTATGAAGAAGGGTCAGCAACTTGATGGACTTTCATTGGTACTTGCTGCCCCAGTCCCTCCGGCCCAGGCAGGCAGACCCTGGCACTGTGCCCACTGCCTGCTCTTCCCCGCCCGGATCTGATGAGCTGCCTCCTTCACATGGGGGTGATTTGCAAGGCCCAGGTGAGAAGCAGCAGGTGGCAGGCCCAGAACATGCCCCTGATGACCCTGGGTCCGCACGTCTCCAGGAACCAGGAAGCAGCTAGTGTGTCAGCTGTGGGGCCCGGGGCCCAGGGCGGGGGGTTAGGGGGGCTAGGGGAGGAGATGGCCCCAGGGCTTGCCAGCCGCAGTGCAGTAGCACTGGGCTCTGTGTCTTCTAGGAAGCTTCTGCTTTCCTTGTTGCTTGGTGCACTGTGTTCTCAGAAGGGGCCTGGCCTGACCTGGGAGGGCCTCCTCTCTCTACCCTACCCCTCTCCTTGTCCCTGGAGCAGGGCATGAAGGAGAAGCCTGTGCTAGGGAACGGACGTGGGGCCAGCAGAGACGGTGGTTAGTGGTTGCTGCTCCTGCTCTTTCTTTCTTTGTTTCTTTTCTTTTTTCTTCTTCTTTTTTTTTTTTAAATTAAGCTGTATCTGAGTAAAATATCCGTCACACTTACCGTCTTAACCGTTAGTGGTGGTTGGGTTTGCATACCTAGCTGGGTGTTAGGAGCAGCGGTGACCGTGGGGGAGATGTTTACCATGTACCGGGGACTCTCATATAATCGTGGAAATAATCTTGTGAACTAGGATGGGATATCTCGGTTTTACAAATAAAGACGTTGGAGCTCAGGAGAGGCTCTGTGGCTTTCCCAAGGACATGTGGCTAGCAAGGATTCAGATCTGGCAGCCTGGGCTCCAGACCTGCTGTCTTCACTAGGACTGTCCGCCCCGAGTGAGTGGGTCCTATTATCCCCACTATACAGAGAAGGAAACTGAGGCCCCGAGAGGCCAGGTACTTTGCCCAGGGTCCAAGAGCTTGATGGGAGTAGGGGGCCGTGAGGGCCCCAGCACTCAGCCCATCTCTCCCCTACCCCCAGGTGGCGATGGTGGAGGTACAGCTGGACGCCGACCACGACTACCCGCCGGGGCTGCTCATCGCCTTCAGTGCCTGCACCACGGTGCTGGTGGCCGTGCACCTGTTCGCGCTCATGATCAGCACCTGCATCCTGCCAAACATCGAGGCGGTGAGCAACGTGCACAACCTCAACTCGGTCAAGGAGTCACCCCATGAGCGCATGCATCGCCACATCGAGCTGGCCTGGGCCTTCTCCACCGTCATCGGCACGCTGCTCTTCCTGGCCGAGGTCGTGCTGCTCTGCTGGGTCAAGTTCTTGCCCCTCAAGAAGCAGCCGGGGCAGCCCCGGCCCACCAGCAAGCCCACAGCTGGCGGCGTGGTGGCCAGCGTCAACGGCAGCACGGGTGGCATCACCCCGGGCCAGGCCGCCGCCATCGCCTCCACCACCATCATGGTCCCCTTCGGCCTGGTCTTTATCGTCTTTGCCGTCCACTTCTACCGCTCACTGGTCAGCCATAAGACGGACCGGCAGTTCCAGGAGCTCAACGAGCTGGCCGAGTTCGCCCGCCTGCAGGACCAGCTGGACCACAGAGGGGATCACCCCCTGACGCACGCCGGTCACTACGCGTAAGCCCTTGTGGGCCCGGGCTCTGCAGATCCCTGGCCTGTTGCCGCTCCCCACGACCTCGTCCTGCCCCAACCTCGAGGACAGCCAGCCAGCTCTGGGGATTGGGCTTCTGTCCAGGGGCAGAGAGTGGAGGGAGGAGGCTTTTTTTTTTTTTTTTTTTTTTTTTTAAAGAGAAACGACTGCACTTTGAAACTTTCGTGTTCTTCCAGCTTCAGGCTCACCTCCCGGTAGGAGGCTGCTGGTGGGAGCCAGAGTGGGGACAGACAGACGCTCCCTTTGTCCTTCCCCCTCCCATGTGTCCGTGCCACTTAATGCTTCTTGTCTTTTCTGTCTTGACCACCCCCTGCCCCATTCAGTGTCGTGTGTGTGTGTGTGTGTGTGCGCGTGCGTTGCGTGCACGTGTGTGCGCGCACAGAAATATATTCATAAGGGACACCTCTTGTGTGTGTATTTGTTGGGTCTGGACTGCCTGCTGGTACTTTTCCTGGTGCTCCAATCAGGGGAGCCTCTATGCAAAAAAAAAAAAAACAACACCTTTTTAACATTTGATTTTTGAAAATTTTCAGACCTCTGAAAAAGTTGCATGTATAGTAACTGAAATACATAGATCGTCAATTCTTGTCATCTACAGCAGTTGTGTTCTAGGAATTAGCTGGTGTCGAGCCATTGCTTCTGTGGGGTTAGGTTCCTATGAGCCTTTGTCTTGTATTCCGCCAGGCGTGCAGTAGGTAACCTTGTTTTATGTGTTTCTGTTTTTGTTTTGTTTGTTTTTGAGTAATCTCTGCACACAGCATGGGGCTCAGACTCACAACCCTGACACTGAGAGTTGCATGCTTAACTGACTGAGCCAGCCAGGCACCCCTGTGTGCGTTTCTGTTTAAAGACACCTTACTCACTCATGGCTAACAACACAGGATCTTGTACCTAAAGGAAGCTTTTCCAAAAAGATTTTTCTTTTTAAAGTAATCTCTGCACCCAACGTGGGGCTTGAACTCAGAACCCCGAGACCCAGACTTGCACGCTCCACCAAATGAGCCAGCCAAGTGCCCCACTGCCTTCTTTTTAAATAGCAAAATTACCGGGGCGCCTGGCTGGCTCAGTTGGTGGACTGTGCGAGTCTTGATCTCAGAGCCATGTAGTTCAAGTCCCGTGTTGGGCATGGAGCCTCCTTAAAGTAAAAATAAAAAGTCTTGGGGCGCCTGGGTGGCTCTGTGGGTTACAGCCTCTGTCTTCGGCTCGGGTCATGATCCCGGGGTCCTGGGATCAAGCCCCGCATTGGGCTCTCTGCTCAGCGGGAAGCCTGCTTCCCCCCCTCTGCCTACCTGCGATCTCCGTCTGTCAAATGAATAAAATCTTAAAAAACAGAAAAACAAACAAACAAAAAAAACAAAAAATCTTTTAAAAAGCAGCAAAATCACCAACAAAAAGCACCAGATGTGAAAAACGTGGCCCTAAACAGACGGTGCAAGGTCGCCTTTTTGGGAAGGCTGAGACAAGAAGGTAGAGTGGTGCCTGTTTGACCTCAGCAAGTAGGAGAATCACAAATACCAAAGCGGTGAAGAAGGAGGACGTGATGTCTGTCTCTCTCCTGAGCCCACGTGCTTTAGCTGCAGTTATCATCCTTCATGCTTAAATGCTTCCTCCTCAAACCGAGGAGGGGACGTTCTTCTCCCTAACCTCAATTCGCTGATCAGATTCAGGAAATTTGACATTGACACAGTACTCCTGAATATTTTCCACTTGTCCTGATCATGTCCTTTCTAACCATGATTTTCCCATCGGGCTTGTGTGTTGCATTCACTTGTCATGTCTCTTTAGTTGCTTTAAATTTGGAGCAGCCTTTCCTTGTCCTTTTGAACATCAGCATTTTTGGAGTCTAGGCCTGTGGTTTTGTAGAATGCTACTTCAGTCTGGTTTTCCCATACTTTCCTGCAATTACAATCAGGGTGTGTGTCTTGGCAGGAAGATTTATCTCTGTTTTGCAGATGGCAAAAATTGATGCCCAGAGAGGTTAAGTAATTGGCCAGAATTTGAACCTGGAAAGTCTGGCTCAGAGCCCAGGCTCTCACAAAAATCTTACATGAGGATTCTATCTTTGGTTAAGAAATTGGAAGGCCCAGCCGTAGCAGCACTGCTCCCACTTTTTCAAAGAGCATCAGTGAGGAGTGGAGTTGTAGCCGCCCTCTTCCCCAGGAGATGTGTTTGCCATAGTCCCCGCCACTCCCTCTTGTCTCACACCGGGCCAGCTTTGTTCACGTTACTTGCCTCGCCTCCCCCGTGGTCCCAGAAACCCAATACAGATTGTGGTTTTATAAAAACAAAGTCCTCTGACCGAAGTGAAGGCTGGTTGGGGGAAAGTGTGGCCTTAAGTTCTTATCCTGTGCAAACTTGGACATGCTAATAGCAGCTTCGTGTGCTGAGTGGGATAGAGGACCTTTTTCTCCTATTGTAGCTTCTTGCCTCTATCCTGCATCACACGTACCAGGACCCACCTCCCCAAGTGGCCTGGACGGGCCCTCTAACTGGGACTGAGTAGTAGGGAGCAGGGGCGCCTGTGTGAAACTCTCCAGTGCTCCCCAGAGATGACCTCGCCATCTTCCGTGCATTCCCCTCCACAACCCTCCCTGCTTCTGCAGAGACCTGGGAGCTGGCTGCGGTAATATCCGGCCTGTGACTCTAGCCAGGTGTTCCTTCCTAAAATTGCCTAAAGTCAAGAGTCACCAGATTGGCTTGTAAAATGTAGATTTCCAAGCCTTTCCCATGGAAAGTTAGTCTGGATAGATCTAGAATCTGTATTTGGGGTGGGGGAGGGGCAGAGGAAGAGAGACTCTTAAGCAGGCTCCACATCCAACTTGGAGCCCTACGCTAGGCTCAATCGCATGACCCTGAGATACGACCTGAGCCAAAATCAGAAGTTGGATGTTTAACTGACTGAGCCATCCAAGCGCCTCTAAAATCTGCATTTTTTTTTTAATTTTTTAAAGATTTTATTTACTTATTTGACAGATCACAAGTAGGTAGAGAGACAGGCACAGAGAGGGGGGGGGATGCAGGCTCCCTGCTGAGCAGAGAGCCCGATGTGGGGCTCGATCCCAGGACCCTGAGATCATGACCTGAGCTGAAGGCAGAGGCTTAACCCACTGAGCCACTCAGGCGCCCCTAGAATCTGTTTTTAATACCCCGGGGTACTCAAACCTAGGCAGCTCAGGGAAGCACAGTAGTTAAAGGACACTCTCTCTTTAATTTCAGTTTTCTTTGTATTTCAGACACAAATACATTCACAGGTTCCAAATACAACAGTGAGAAAGTCTCCCGCCCTCCCCTGTTCCCAGGTTCCCGATTCTCTCCCGTGGCATCCGTTGTTGCCAGTATTTTGTGTCCCCATCTAGGGAGATTTCATAAACAAGAAACACCCTACTTTTTCTGGGGGGAGAAAGAAAAAAGGTATCCTTCCCTATGCTCTGTTCTGTCCGTTAACAGTGGGTAATTTATGTTTAAGCACAGTTACTTTCTCGCTTTGTGACTCGGGAGCCTCCCAGAACCCGCTTCCCCCTCTAAAAGGGTGATAATAGCAGGACAGCCTCAGAAGCTGCGGGGTCGTGGAGGGGAGGGTGGTGGCGGGTGAAATTCTGGGCACAGGGCCTGGCACCAAGTGAACGGTCTGTGTCCCCAGTGGGCCAGGCTCAGCTTCCTGGCGTGAGAGGTCTAGACAGAGCCATACCTTGGGGTCAGGCCACCCCGCTTATGATTTCGGAGGCAGACAGGAAATCGTGTCGGGGTTTATGGAGCCTTTACTGTGTGCCCGGCACGTGCCGAGGCCTTAGTGAACATCTTGGAATTACAGGGTTACGCTTCAGTCATTGGGCTGAAAAACGCAGTAGAAGAGTGTTTCCATTAGCGTGTGCTTTGTAGGATCCTTAACTGCTACCCACCAGCTGCCAGTGAAGTTTTTCCCTGCTGGTTGTGACAACCAGAAATGTCTTCAGACATCGCCGAATGTCCCCGGGGAGGCAGGGGAGACAGAATGTCTTGCATTAGGAACACGTCTTATTTCATGTTCATGTTAACCACAGTAACCTGGGTGGCAAGGACCGCGACTGCCCCGTATTTGAGGGGAGGAAACCTAGAGAACAGAGAGGTTGGGTGCCCTATCGGAGAACACACAGCTCCTAAATCACTGCTGGGATTCACACCCAGGCAGCCTGACTCAGATTCCTACCCATTATGTAAGAGTCTCTTTTATCTTGAAGAATGTTGTCTGGAATTATGCAAAGCTCTTCCAGATCTCTGCTTCACAATTAACCTCAATACATGTTACTTGTTGTTATTATATCTGTCACCAAATCCTCAAAAACACCCCTGTGAGATCTCCTAAGTGCCATTTTACAGATGGGGCAACTAAGGTCACTTGCTTAGGGTCACAAAGTAAATCAGGGGTTCTAGATGCAGTTGCACATTAGTATCGTCTGGGGAAATTTCTGAAGGCCCAGGCCTCATTCATCCCAGACAGACGAGAGTCTGGGCATGGGACCTGGATGTCTGTGGCTTGTAAAGCTCCCACTGGATCCCAAGGTCGAGCACTCCTGTGTTAGGCTGAGAAGCCAGGTCGGCTCTCCACCCCAAATCTCAGTGGCCACTGTGACCAGAGGCTCTTCTCCTCTTTCTCCCCCAGGGGAAATCTATGCAGCCCGCAGGGACGTCTTCCCTCTTCACCTGAAGTCCCTCCCAGAGCTGCACCCCTTCCGTCCCAATCACACAGCACAAGCCCTGGGCCCATGCCACTGGGTTCTCCTTTATACTCCTGCTCTCAGGAATGGTGACCGAGAATGAAGGCTGTAACAAGAGGGCCCCGAAAGCCAGCTGGGGAGAGGGTTACCCAGTGCTGGGAGGAGTGAGGTGCCCTCTGAGGGTGCCAAGGATGTGCCCCGAGTCACCACTCGCTCCTTCTGCAGAAGCTGCACCGGTTTGAGCAGTTGGGTGACGGACTTGAATTTCTCCAGAAAGCTCTGGTGTGTTCCCTGCGGGGGCAAGGAGCTGGTGGGAGCTGGCAACTCCAAGATGCTGTACCAACGCCCTGTCCTCAAACTGCACTGACACCCACACCCCGAGGGGCTGGGACAGATGTCAGGTGCAGGCCTGGGCCAAACCTTACTCAAGGGCATTCAGGAGCGAACTGCTCTTCAAGGAAATGAGCTTTGAAGGGAAGGAACCAGCACGAACCGGATGGATTGCAGGAGGCAAGAAACACACCCTCTGCTCCTGCCCCTGAGTTCCTTGGCCAAAGGAGACCCCAGGAGCTGCCTCAACCACATCAGAGGCTGGGGCACAGGCCTGGCCCTCACCTGGCATCAGTCTTCTTCCTCTGTCTTCCTGAACGTGGCCATGGCTTCCTCCAGCACGCCATCAGGGTCCAGAATTTTGATCTGGAGGGAAACAGTAAAGGGTTGGATTGGGGAGCATGGGAGGCGCAGGCTGCCAGCCTTTGGGGTGCTGCCTACTTTGGAGGTGCTGTCTGCCTTGTGGGCTGCTGCCAGTCTCCATGGGAATGCCCTGACTGAGAACAAAACCTTGTCTGTTCCCTGGCTGGGCTGGGCTAGGCCTGGCCAGGCTGGATGTGGCTGCGGGGGCACCGTTTTCTGTCTCTGGGTGTGCCCACCTTAGGAATGGGGAACTGGGTGGGCTCGGGTGCCTCATCACGTCCAAAGTCAATCATGGTGCCACACTTGGCCACGTCGTCCACCCAGAAGCCTTCAAACAGCTGACCGTGGTCCAGGTGGAAGAAACGGCCTGGCCCATTCTTCATGCCTCTCTCCCAGTAACCCTCGTAGCGGTTCCCGTTCTCTGGGGGAAAGGACAGGGTCACGTGGGTGCTGGGCACACCTGACCAGACCAGACTACCAGGCTGGCCCCTCCGCACATCCTCCACACATCCTCCGCACATCCTCCGCACATCGGACCCTGTGCCCACGGGGAAGCCAGAAGGAAACCCAGCTGACTAGAGTGCCCCGGGCCGGGCTGCCTGCGGTCTGGGCGGACTGACCTATAAACATCAGAGCCCCCAGGGTGGGGTGGAGGGTGGGGTGGGGGTGTCAGTGACTTCCAGAATCAGACCTGGTCCACATCTGGCCTCCATGACTTACCCGAACTTGGATGAACAACATCCTTTCCTATTTGTAAAAAAAAAGTCATAGCTAATAGTATGAATAGACAATGTTTTTCCAGCATTCACTCTGTGCCTGGTTCTTTGCTATGTTTCTGACCTCACTCACTCCTCCCAAAAACAGTTCTATGAAGGATAACCGACTCCATTTTCTACAGATGGAGCTTGAAAAGCTCAGGGAGTCTGACTGACTTGCTCAAGGTCACAGAGCTAGGACGCGGCAGAGACAAGATTTGAAGCCAAGGTCTGTTCATCCCAGGAGCCCATACTCTTCTTAATCATGAATTCACGCTCCCGCTTGGCTGATGGTGGTGTTGGCATAAAAGGAATACTAATAAAGCCAGCGCTTCTCAGCTCAGACCCTTACAGCCATGGGATCTCGGGCAAGTCACAACCATTTTGTCTTATTTCCTCATTTGTAAAATGGGGATAACAGAGGCACCTACCTCATAGAATTGTTGTGGAGATTAAATATATGGGTTCACGGAAAGGACTTAGATTACTGGATACACTCCAGACGAGAGGTCAGCAAACTTTTTTCTGTAAAGGGTCAGCCGGGATTTTTGGCTTTGTGGGGCCCAGGGTCTCTGCCACAACTCCGCCATTGCCGTGGACGATGTGTAAATGAATGAGCAAGTCTGGTGTGCCAATAAAACTTTACTTACAAACACATGTGTTGAGCTGGGTTTGGATTTGGTCCAAGGATCGTAGTCTGCTGACACCTGCTACATGTAAGTATGAGCTAGTAACATTGCTGAGCACTTACATTATGTGTCCGGCACCGCACTCAGCACTTTACAAACCTCATTTAACCTTCTCAACCCTAGTTAAGTCATATTTTTATCCTTAATTTACAGATGAGAAAACCAAAGCACAGAGAGTTTAAGTTTGAGCACATTGCATCAAGGTCACGTAGCTAGTAAGAGCTTGATCCAGGATTTGAACCTGAACCCAGGCAGACAGGCTCCAGAGTCCAGGCCACTAGCAATGATGCACGAAGAACCCTTACACTACATGCGGCCGCAGCAGACGCTCACTAAGTGTGGGCTGTTGCTACTAGATGCTCACTAAAAGTAGCCGCAGAGCTGGGTGCATGGGGGCTTGAGAATGACAAAGTAGCTGGCATAAGCCCTCCTCAGCTGATCTAATGCCTCAGTTTGGTCAAGTCTCATTGGAAATTGAAGTCTTTAGTTTTCAGGAGACTGAGCTCAGTTTTGTGTCCTCATCATGGGCACCTACTATGTACCAGGTACTGGGGAAACAATGGGGAGCAAAATAGATGCGCGGTCCAGGTCACAGTCTGGGGAGACAATGACACTAGCTTTATAGATAGCCTATTACGTGCCTGTTCACAGTAGTACCGCTTTTTAGGTACTATTATTCCCATTTTACAGGTGAGGTAACTGAGGCATGGAGAGGAGAAAACTTGCCCAAGATTATACACCTAGTGCTAAAAAGGAAAGGAAAAAGGTGCTGAGGATGAGGAGAATGTGCACTAGTGGTATGAACGGGGGAGGCCTCTCTGAGGAGGAGACAGTGCAAAGATATGGAGGATCTTCTTTCCATTGCAGCAGTGCAAGGGCCCTGAGGCAAAAAGCGTGGGAGGAACTGAACGAAAATGAGTAAGGCTGAAACTGAGGGATTCCCAAGGGACATGGGGCGGGAGGCACAACTACAGGACTGCAGACCCTGCAGACCACGCTCTGAACTCTGAGGGTAAGAGGGAGCTATGGAAAAGTTGAAAGCAGGTTAGCAATACGGTCCAATCTGCCAAAGTTCATGCTGGTTGCTACATAGAGAATGGATTAAGTCCTGATGCTAAGGCGGTTTACTCATGACTTTCTCTCTCTAGGAATATTTTTCCCTAGCTCAGTGCTTATCAGGCTCCTTCTCTTCCTTCAGGTCTTCTGTCCAAACATCACCGCGTCAGAGACATTCTCTGACCCTAAGTCTGTCTAGATAGCCCCTGTCCCCAACTCCTTTGTCATTCTCCAACACACCTTCCTATTTTACATATTTATTTATTTTTCCCTATTTTAAAGGGATATTGCTTAGCACTTTTGACCTCACAATGAACAGACTATGTTAATCTCGAGCGAGTGACTTAACCTCTCTGTAGCTCAGTTCATTTGTAAAGTGGAGATGGTCATAGTACCATCTTACGGAACTGTAGTGAGGATTAAATGAGCTCAGTGCTGTGTAAGTGTAGGCTAGAATTACTGACCATAAGAAAATATCTTAATTGTTGATGTGTCTTGTTAGGCTCCCCTTTAGAATAGAAAGTCCCTGAGGGCAGGGATCTGGACCTGTCCCGGACCTAACCCGGAGCTGAGCTGGAGAGGGGCTGGGCGTGGTCGGGGCGTGGCCTAGAGGGGGCACGACCAAGCCGGGCCAACCGGGGCTGCCCCTGGGGCGTGGCCAGGAGGCCATTGGGGCGGGGCTGGCTGGGACGGGGCGGGGCTGGCTGGGACGGGGCGGGGCTGGCTGGGACGGGGCGGGGCTGGCTGGGGCGGGGCGGGGCTGGCTGGGGCGGGGCGGGGCACTTACTCTGACGCAACATGCCCTCCCCATGCGGCTTGTCGTTCAACCACTGGCCCTCGTAGATGTCGCCGTTGCTGTAGTACATGCGGCCCCATCCGCTGCGCTGGTTGCCACACCACTCACCCTCGTAATAATCCTTGGGTCCGAAAAACTGAATCCCATAGCCCTGAAAGCACGAAGGTGTCCCTGTTCACGGCGCCCCCCACCACTAGGAAAGCCACCCCTATCTTCCCGGGCACCCAAACCACACACCTGGACTACTTCCCTGCTTCCTCCCTCAGCCCTACATCCCAGACTGATGGTCGGGCATTGAAAAAGCTCCTCAAGCTCTCCGTTCCCCTCCACCCCTCTGCTACCACCTTCGTTTCTCCCCTCCTCACTGGTCCCCCTCTTCCACTCTCCCGTTCTCCCCTCCGCAAGCATCTTCAGTGAAGCAGCTAGAAGGATCTTTACATCGCTCATCTGATCACGTTTGCCCCTTCTCCTCATCTCTGATTCGACCCTGTTAAAAGTCGCAGATGCCTCAGATCAAAGTTATGGACTTTCTCCCCAGAAAAATGAACACCACACTCAGTGTCCAACCACGGAGAACCATGGACTCCCCGCAGATCACACCTTAAGGAAGTTGGGTTAAGCAGCCCAAGTCTATCCCTCAAAATCCTGATTCCCCACAAAACCTTCAAGGCCCCCATCTACCCCTCTCCTCACCCCCACCCCTGTGGGCACACACACCTTGGTGTTTGACATATTCTTTGCTACTTCTGACTACTTTGCTACTTCCCCTTCTCCTTTTTGTCCTCTCTGGTTAACTCTTTGCACCTTTTGGTATTACCTCCTGTAGGAAGCCTGCCCTGAATTCTCAATTCATGTAGGCTCCCTGGGAAAACCTCTATCCTAACACCAAATTGTATGTGAATTGTTTATTTTGGGCTCTCTTTCCCCACTGGCCACTAAACAGTTTGAGCTCAGAGATCACAAAATCCAATCACCATTTGCCAGCAGTGTGTGACCTCAAGCAAGGCACTTCACCTCTCGGGGCTTGTTTCCGTATCAGTAAAAGAAGAATGATGATGACCATGACTTTTGTGAGTGGGTTGTGGGATACTGGGAGGGTTCAGGCATTTCTCAGTTGAGGACATGCCTCTGGCTGGCTTCTACCTCCAGGACCTTCCTCTCTTGTCCTATGGCCAACGGTGTGGCCTCTGCTTTCTTGCTCCCACTTTTCCTACCACCTCTTGTGCTGGTCCAACAGAAGGGGGATTCTCAGAAAGGAATGCCCAAGGAAAAGAAAGCCAGGAAATGAGTGGGGCAGACAGGGGGAGGAGACTTGGCCCCCACACAGCCTGGCTGGCTTCTTGTGCCACGAGGGTTCATGGGCTCCTCCCCGGGCTCTCTCCTCTTGCTTCCTGTTTCCTGGGTTTTGTTCTAAGAAGCCTGGATGATTTCCCACCCCTTCCTTCTCCCACGCACACAGTACTCTTGTCCTCCTTCCCTCCACCCTCCTCCCTTTTCTCCCAGGACTCTCTGACTGTTCCCCCTACACACACACACACACACACACACACACACACACACACACTCACAGAGAGCCTGTTTTCAGCCCAGCCCACATCCCAGGGCATGACAGGAACCACTCACCGATTTTTTATCATCTTTCCACCAGCCAGAGTATACTTTCCTGGGCTTTCCCATCTCTTGGTCAGGAAAGCTGAGGGTGCCATAGCCATCTCGCTTCCCAAACTTCCAGTCTCCCTCATAGATGGCTCCTTTCTTCTTCCAGATGTGTGTTCCTTTTCCTGATGACACATAGATGAGTCGACACTGCAGACATGCAGCCATGGGGCTGAAGGGGCAGGTGCTGGGTCTGCCTTGGCCTCAGGGGCCCCTAGAAGACTTGATGACTTTCTCAAGGGCTGAGTCAGGGTTGTGCTTTGTCTCTAGACCCCCAGCACCAGTGAGAACTCCAAGAAAGTTCCATTTCTACAAATAACAGTTCTCCAGCTGTTTGCCCTGATGCCAGATTGATACAGCAACCCCCCAAGTAGAAATCTGCCCCTCCTTCTTCTCTTAATAATAATGAGTTTCATCTCTTTTAAAAATAAGTTTCATCTTTAAATGATACTCAAAGGTTACACGAGATGGCCAGATTTTCTAGAAAATGTTCTGCATATTTCTTCAGTTCTCAGAAACATACATGGAAACCTATGTCCTATCATTCCAGCCTCATCTGTGAATTCCACTCCCAACTTCCAGACTGCCCTCCAACCACTGTGGCCGCCGTGCTGGTCGAGGAACCCACCAGATATGCCTCTGCCTCAGGGCCTTTGTACCTACCTGTCCTTCGTCCTGGAATGCTCTTCTGTAAATTTCAATCACTCCCTACATCCTACAAATCTCCATTCAAATCTATTTTTTCAGTGAGGCCTTCCCTGACCATCCCATATAAATTCACAAGTCTGTCCTAACCCCCCTTACCCTGCTCTGTTTCTTTTTTCTTTTTATCAAGATTGTATGTATTTATTTGACAGACAGGGATCACAAGTAGGCAGAGACGCAGGCAGAGAGAGAGGGGGAAGCAGGCTGCCTGCTGAGCAGAGAGCCTGATGTGGGGCTCGATCCCAGGACCCTGAGATCATGACCTGAGCTGAAGAGAGAGGCTTAACCCACTGAGCCACCCAGGTGCCCCTTCCCTGCTCTGTTTCTTTCCATATCACCTATCAGCTCCTAACATATCAGACGATTCACTTATTTGTCATTTTTTGTCTCTTGTCTAGCTCTCCATGAGAATGTGCACTCCATGAGGACACAAACTTTGGTCTGTTTTGTTCACTGCTCTATTTCCAGCACTGAGGAACAGGACCTGGCAAGTTGGAGGTGACCAACACATGTCAAACAAAGACATTTGTTGAACAAAGGGTCAATAAAATATTTGTGGAGTACCTATACGGGCTAATACGTGTCTTGGTCCTTAGTAGCTCAGGAACAAATCCAACATTGTCCCTGTGAGTTTTTCAATCTCGGCCTAGTAATTTAACTCCCTGGGCCTCAGGTTCCTCATCTGTAAAATGGGGATGAGACTATCTCATGGGGTTGTTCTGATCACTACATTCATTAATATAAGGAAAACACTTAGAACAGTGTCTGCAAATACAAAAGATATTACCAATTATTTGTGCCCTTGAGGTAGAGCCCTCACCCGGTTTTTCTACCTGTCCCTCTTTTACGAGGTTTATTTCTTTTGGGGAACCAGCCTCTCCTGAACTCTCAGTCCCGATGGTTTGCGTGGATCTGGCTCCTCCCCCTGGCCGCGCCAGCCAACCAGCTCGGGCCACTGTGATTGGTTGATTGAAGGGCATTGATTTGAGTTGGTCCAATGAGACTGTTTGCCTCTGGGATAAAGGTAAATTTACCACTTAAACGAAGTTTTTTATGGTCAGACTCCTTGGTGTGCCCACTCTCTGTCCTCCCCTTCTCTGCTCTGGGCGCACTGGCTTCCAGTCTGTTCCTTGAGCAAGACTTAATACCCTTCCCCCACAGTCCTTCCATTCTGAGTCCACTACCTAGAAGACAGGCCCTTCTGCCGGGCTAATCCCTACCCACATGCGCTCCGTTCAGACATCGCCTCTCTCTGTTCTCATGGCCGCTTTCATGCCTCCTCTCCGGTCCCCTTCATATCCTGATGCCACCCCTTTTATTTTTATTTTTAATTTTTTGAAGTAAAATAGCCTTGTTTTATTACGTGCAGACTATGTATAAACAAACTACCCACTCTGAAAACAGCAGGTTCTGGCTTTTCCCAGGGTCCTCAGAAACCTCTGGGAGACTAGTTCCTTCCCCAGAGAGGGGTGCGTGCGTGTGTGCGTGCGTGCGTGCGTGCGTGTGTGTGTGTGTGTGCGTGATGGAGCCACACGCTCCTCCTTCCCTCTCTGGTCCAGGAGGAGGCATCTCCATCTTACTCCTCTGCAAGGAATCGAGGAAGGCTTGCCACTCTGCAGGGTAAAATCGCTTATAGATGTTGGTCTTACTCCGAATCTGTTTCCGGGTATGTTGACACTAATTCTTCTCACCCCGGGCCATAACTTTATAGTCTCCCCCCGCCCCTCCACCGTTCTCCGTCATGAAGTGTATGTAGTCAGTGAAGTCTGAAGACAGCATGTTTGCTTTCTTTTCTGGGAGGCTGGCTTCTACCTCCATGTCATTTACCCCATACAGCCTGATGCCACCTCTTTTAGCCATGTGACCCTCAGTGAGTCATTTCCTCTCTCTGAGCCCCAGTTTCCTCATCTGTAAAATGGGATACTATTTATTGTGCAGGTTCCCTGCGAGCCTGGAGCCCCCTGAGGCTTGGCATCTTGCCAGATGCCCAGTACAGAGCCTGATGTGGGCCAGGAGTGCTGTAGGGGTTAGCGGAGTGAAGGCAACGAGCAGTCCAGGGAAGCCGTGGCCACCCAATCCTTGCCTTGCATGATGATGACTCTCTTGACTGCTTCCAGTCTGCTTACACCACAGCAGTCCCTGTCGGCTTGGTCAAAGGTATGTCTTGAAGAGAGGGGAGGCTCGATTAGGATTCTCCTACAGCTCCATTTTCAAGAGCCTCAACCCAATCAGCTCTATGCCTCTGGGGTCCTAGGGGAGGCAGGACTCACATCGAAGGAGGGATCAGAGCGCCATGTCAACCCACAAGTTCACAGCACAGGTGAGGCTGCTGAGATCCATAGAATGGGAGATGAGTTACCTAAAGTCACATGCTAGACGGCGGCAGCTTCGGAGTGCTTTTGGATGAGGATGGTTCCGAGTAGTGGTGATCCCTGCCATGCTCTGCCCTCAAACAGTCACAGACCCTTCTGCACACACCCCGGGCTATGCACTTAGTAGATGTCATCTCTTATCTTTACCAACAGGCATTTTCTCATTTTACAGAATGGGACACTGAGGCTCAGAGTATGGTAATTAGTCACTCAAGGTCCCTGTTGGTGGGGCCGAGATTCTGACCCAGGTTTCTGGACTCTAAAGTACTTCACTCAGGAAGGCACGAGAGAAAAGTGGTTAAGAGCACAGAATCTGGGGGCACCTGGGTGGCTCAGTGGGTTAAAGCCTCTGCCTTCCACTCAGGTCATGATCTCAGGGTCCTGGGATCGAGTCCTGCATCGGGCTGTCTGCTCAGCGGGGAGCCTGCTTTCCCCCCCTCTCTCTGCCTGCCTCTCTGCCTGCTTGTGGTCTCTGTCTGTCAAATAAATAATAAAATAAAAATCTTAAAAAAAAAAAGCATAGGATCTGGAATTGCAAAACCTACGTGAGAAGCCATATCATCTTTTTTTAATAAAAGCTTGTTTCTCTTGGGGCGCTTGGCTGGCTCAGTTGGAAGAGCACACGCCTCTTGATCTCAGGGTCATGAGTTCGAACTCCATGTTGGGTGTAGAAATCACTTAAATAAATAAAACTTTTTTTTTTTAGATTTTATTTTTAAGGGGCACCTGGATGGCAGAGTCGGTTAAGCATCCAACTCTTGGTTTCGGCTCAGGTCATGATCTCAGGGCCATGACACCCAGCCCCACATTAGCCTCTGTGCTTGGCGTGGAGTCCTCTTGAGATTCTATATCCCTTTCCCTCTCCCCTCCCGCTCATGCTCTCGTTCTCTCTCTCTGAAATAAATAAATAAATCTTTTAAAAATATATTTTATTTTTAAGTACGCTCTACACCCAACATGGGGCTCAAACTTACAACCCCAAGGTCAAGAGTCATATGCTCTACTGACTGAGCCACCCTGGTGCCCCTGAATTAATAAAATTAAAAAAAAACAACAACACTTCTTTTTCTTCAGGGCTTAGTTTGTGTCACAAGGAACCCTATGCCATTTGCTGGTTAAAGTAACAGTTAAAGTGGGACGCCTGGGTGGCTCAGTTGGTTAAGCGTCTGTCTGCCTTTGGTTCAGGTCATCATCCTGGAGTCCCAGAGTCTGCCTCTCCCTCTCCCTTTGCCCCTCCCTCCTGCTCACGCTCTCTCTCTCTCTCTTGCTCTCTCTCAAATAAATAAATAAAATCTTAAAAAAAGAAAAAAAGTTGCAGTTAAAGCCCCAGCTAGTTGTGTGTGTGTGTGTCCTCCCTAACCCCCTGCTGGTGAGACCCCCACGTCAGAGCTGTTTGAATCCCTACTGCGAGCTGGTTGCAGGGGTGGGGGCACCTTTTCTTCCTGCCAGCCCCATGTTTAGCCCAGGTCTCAGAGGTCAGGCCGTGTACTGGAGTCCCCAGAGCCCTAGCTGTGGTTACGGATGGTGTCTCAAGACCACTTTGTCCCCTGCTGGTCCCTGAGGTCTTTGCTCTTCTGAAGTCAGGGTAGAGTTTGGTTCCAGAGCCCCAGCGTGTGGAGACCCCTGGCTGGCCCAGGTCAGTGGCATTCCACCCTTGAGGGAGCCTTGGGGACATATGTCCCCAGGGAGCTCCATCAGCAACTTCCTTGGCCCCAGTCAAGTCCCAGTCACCCACCATGGCCCAGACTCCACACTAGCCACCGGGACTCCTCAAGGTCCCCCACTCACCATGCTTCATGTTGTCCTTCCACTCGCCCACATAGCAGTCACCATTGACCGAGTACACCTGGTGTCTCAGTCCGTTCTTCTGGGCCTTCCGGTCCCATCCCTTCCACAGGGGCTCCGACTTCTTCCAGCACTTGGAGATAGGCATGTTGCCTGCTTCTGTGGGGCCAGGGGGTGCTGGTAAAGGGTTAGGGACATCAGGGGCTCAGTGTACCCCTAGTAGTGCCAGGATCCTGGGGCTTCCTGGGGATGCGCTTGTCTGAGCCCAAATGACATGAGTCATGTATGTTCTGAGTCCCCGGGCAGATGAGCAAGCAGCCCTTTGAGGGTGACCCTTCTGTGCTGGACTGACCCTTGCCTGTCACCTCCTTTGCATCTATCTCTAGTGTCCCGCTGAGGTAGGTCTGATGACACAATTGCTTGGGAACCCAGGGAAACCAGTAGAAGAGGGGGTTTGTGATGGCGTCAGGAAGAAGCTGTCCCTCACCAGTGGTTGACAGTCATATATTTAATAACAAGTATGACCAATCCGTGTGGATGCTGGCCTAAGACTGAAGCTTTCTCTGGAGGCCCCAGTGCTGTGCACTGGGATCCACTGCAGGAGAGAAGCGGATGGCCAGGGTAGGGGGGGATACCCAGGCCACTCTGGGCCTGCAGGTAGCCACTACCACGCAGCCTACAGGGACACCTTCCTGGCCCCCAGTACCCAACACTGCAACCCCTTTGGTCCTGCCTTATCTGTTAGAGGGTGCTAGAAATGTCCAGGACCTGGCTTTAGAAACTGTCAGGGAAGGTGTGTCTGGGTGGCTCAGTCAGTTGTTAAGCGTCTGCCTTCGGCTCACGTCATGATCCCAGTCCTGGGATGGAGCCCAGCATCGGGCCCCTTGCTCAGCGGGAAGCCTGCTTCTCCCTCTCCCACTCCCCTTGCTTGCATTCCATCTCTTGTTGTCTCTCCCTGTCAAATAAATAAATAAAATCTAAAAAAAAAAAAAAAGCTGTCAGGGGAGCCCACCAACTAGAGATACTGCCCATAGGGTGACCAACTGTCTGGGTTTGCCTATGACTGAGGGGTTTCCTAGGAACTTGGACTCCGGTACTAAAACTGGGACATTCCCAGGAACACCAGGATGGCTGGTCATCCTTCTACCTCTGACCTCTGACCTTTGCCCAGATACTCTACTTGTCTGCCTTATTACCTGGTTAGGTTTCTCCATCAGACCGGGGCTCTCCTTCCCGCGATGCCTGATGGGGTTGCAGAGAAACTCTGGGTGGTCTAGGGTCTCTCTTTATGCTGGGACTCCCCCACCTGTGTTCTTCATGTCTCCAAGATCTCCAGTGCAGACATTCATGTCTATCTGTCTGTCTCCAGGGGGCTCGTGCAAGGTGATAAAGATGGTCTCCCCCAATCATGGTATCTGTTTCCTGCTCCATGGGTTTGGGACACACACACACACACACACACACACACACACGCCAGTGGTGCTAGAACCAGGGGCTGAGTGAGATATTTAACCATTAGCATGAGAGGTGCTGAGCCAATTACCTTTGGGCTGAGCAGGTTTCAGATCATGGTGTCCCAGGCATCCACCCACCCATGGCCAGCCTCATGCGTGTGCAACCTGTGCAGTCGAACAGGGCCCACCCTTAGAAGGGCCCATGCTTGGTTTACTCCTTTGCTGGCACTGTTTTTAAATTCTTAATACTTTATGAGTGAGGGCCCCCTTTTTCATTTTTTTTAAATTTTTAAAAAGATTTTATTTATTTATTTGACAGACAGAGATCACAAGTAGGCAAAGAGCCAGGCAGAGAGAGAGGGGGGAAACAGGCTCCCCATTGAGTGGAGAGCCTGACGTGGGGCTCGATCCTAGGCCTGGAGATCATGACCTGAGTGGAAGGCAGAGGCTTAACCCACTGAACCACCAAGGCGCCCTCCCTCTTTTTCATTTACACTGGGTGCACATATCAAGGAGTTCCTTCTGTGGGGCTACAGCAGGGTCTCCAGGAGTCTGACCAGGCTGACCAACCACACGGCTGGCACGTATTTTGACATGCCCAGGAACAGGGTAAATCACTCCCGGCAAAGAAAACAGTAAGTGCAAAAGCTGAGAGGAAGGAAACCGTTTCAGGTCCTAAATGTAACGTTTTCCTTTTTCCTCCCATTTCCTAGTACCACCTGTACAATGACGAATCTTTATATGTAAATTAATTTACTTTAAAAAAATCAATATATTTATCCAAGAAAGAAACTACATATCCTTACTATAAATGGAAAACCAGTATCAGATACCTTAAGGGGGAAGCACAGTAAAAATAAAAATACTATACAGAGACCACCTTAAGTCTTAGCGAGATATCAGTGGCTTACAGTTGAGATTAGCAAATGTTCAGAAAGGTGTTAATTAGCGCCGAACTGACACTTTCTCCTTGGTTTTCTCAGAAGTGTAATGGAACCAACCTAGAACCTAATAACTTTTTTATGATGTCTTTGGATGTTACTTAATGCCTCACAGGGTAATATAAAGTTACCCTCTGTCCCACTCTTTCTTGGGAGCAAGGGTTTTCTGCTCAAGAGGAGGTTACGGTCTTAATACGGGAGCTACCGATAGGAAAAGAAAGCCTTGTGAGGCGGGGCGCGCGGACCGTGCCCGGTTGTTTTGATTCTAAATAATAAATCAGCCACAATGGAAAGTGGAGGGGCGAGGCCCAGACGCAGGGGGGGCCATCCCGAACTCCCCCCCCACCCACCTGCCCCAGCCCACCTGAGCCCGCTCACCTGCGGGGCGGAGCCTGGATCCGCAGCTCTGTGGACCCGAGCGATGGGGTCGCCGCTTCCAGCCTCAATAACGGAGCGCAGCGCTGGCTCAGGCGTCCCTTGCCCGGCGGGGGTCGCTATGGCAACGCGGGGCCCCAGCAAAGCCGCCGGCAGAGCCCGCCCCTTCCTGGCGAGACCGCTTGCTTGCTTCGCGGCGGGGAGGGTGCAGAGTAGTGGGCGTGGGGAAGGACGTCTTAGGGCCTGTGCAGGTCGAGTGCAGCCCGGTTCATCGGCCTGCTGAGCAAAGGGCTGGTGGGCGAGCCCAAAGACCCGGCATCCGCAGAGCGTGGGCCCCGGTGTGCCTGGGGAGGATACTGCCCTCCCCATCTGGGGATCCCCAGGGCAAATACAGCACCCCGAGCAGACCGGAAAGGGTTAAATACTTCTCTGCCGCGTTTGGAACACAAAGCGGCAAAATTTGAAGGGAAAACTAACCACTCTCGTTCTTACTCCTGTTGCGGGGGAGCGGGGGGTGGGCTCTCCTAGACACCTTTAAGAATCAAAGAGAAGCTATTCAGACCCTCCACCTCTCGAAGATGCTTGTATTTTATTTTATTTATTAAGATTTTATTTATTTAACTGAGAGATCACAAGTAGGCAGAGATAGCGGTGGGGGTGGGGGCAGTAGACTCCTGGCGGAGCCGGACTTCGGCGGGCTCGATCTCAGGACTCTGAGACCATGACCTGAGCTGAAGGCAGAGGCTCAATCTACTGAGCCACCCAGGCGCTCCAAAGATGCTTGTATTTTAGACACACAGGTCAGCCCACCTCACCCCTCACTACTCTCCTTGGTTCACATCCTTACAGTGGTTCCTCTGTCACTCAGAGTAAAAGCTACAGTCCCCTCAGTGGCCTTCAGAGTTCCCAGTCATCTGCCTCCCCCACACCCTTTCCTTTCTGACCCTGTCCCCGACTTCCTTCCGGCACCCAGGCTCACTCTGCTCCAGCCATGCCCTTGCTTCCTTGCTGTTCCTGGAAAATGCTGGGCATGTTCCTGCCTCAGGGCCTTTGTCTCTTCTGTGCCTTCTGCCAGGACATCTCTTCCTACAGATAACAGTCTAGATCATTCCTTCCTGTTCTTCAAGGTGTTTTCTTCTTGTTGTTGTTTTTTAAGATTTTATTGATTCATTTGACAGAGAGAGACACATCGAGAGAGGGAACACAAGCAGGGAAGTTGGAGAGGGAGAAGCAAGCTTCCCGCTGACCCTGAGATCATGACCCCAGCGGAGGGCAGATGCTTAACAACCGAGTCACCAGGAGCCCCATCTTCTTCAAGATTTTATTCAAACATCATCACCTCAGTAAGGAGTTGCTGGACCACCTTTTTATTTTTTAAAGTAATCTCTATGCCTAACTTGGGGCGATATCAGGGGTCACATGCTTTACCAACTGAGCCAGTCACGTGCACCTGGACCACCCTATTTAAAACTTGACTCTCGGGGTGCCTGGGTGGCTCAGTGGGTTAAGCCTCTGCCTTCGGCTCGGGTCATGATCTCAGGGTCCTCAGATCGAGCCCCACATCAGGCTCCTTGCTCAACAGGGAGCCTGCTTCTTCCTCTCACCTGCTGCTCTGCCTACTTGTGATCTCTGCCTGTCAAACAAATACAATCTTTAAAAAATAATAATAAAAAAAAAATAAAACTTGAATCTCTTGGAGCATCTGGGTGGCTCAGTCTTTAAGCACCTGCCTTCAGCTTAGGTCCTGATCTCAGGGTCCTAGGATCGAGCACTGCATCCTGCTGGGAGGAAAGCCTGCTTCTCCTTTTCCCACTCCCCCTGTTTGTGTTCCCTCTCTCACTGTGTCTCTCTCTGTCAAATAAATAAAGTCTTAAAAAAAAAACAACTGGAATCTCTATGTATGCTTCACAACCTATTTTCCTGTTTCCCTAGCCTCATTCCTGTTTCATGTGGTATAGCACTGCCGTGTGTGTGGGGGTGTGTGTATACACATATTTATTGTCTTTTTTTTAAAGATTTTATTTATTTATTTGAAAGACAGAAATCACAAGTAGGCAGAGAGGCAGGCAGAGAGAGGGGGAGCAGGATCCCTCCTGAGCAGAGAGCCCGATGTGGGGCTCGATCCCAAGACCCTGAGATCATGACCTGAGCCGAAGGCAGAGGCTTAACCCACTGAGCCACCGAGACACCCCTTGTCTGTCTTTTTTTTTTTTTAAGATTTTATTTATTTATTTGACACAGAGAGATCACAAGTAGGCAGAGAGGCAGGCAGAGATAGAGAGAGGGGGAAGCAGACTCCCCGCTGAGCAGAGAGCCCGATGCAGGACTCAATCCCAGGACCCTGGGATCATGACCTGAGCTGAAGGCAGAGGCTTAACCCACTGAGCCACCCAGGCACCCCCCCTTGTCTGTCTTTTTATTTTATTTTATTTTAAAAGATTTTTATTTATTTATTTGACAGACAGATCACAAGTAGGCAGAGAGGCAGGCAGAGAGAGAGAGAGAAGGAAGCAGGCTCCCCACTGAGCAGAGAGCCGGATGCGGGGCTCGATCCCAGGACCCTGGGAT